GAGGGGGGGGGAAAGGGTGGCATTTTGGGAGGGGGGAGCTGCAACCACACCTACTGAGTCACTGCTGCTCTTCTTCCTCTGATTCTCAGGGAGCGAAGGGAAAGTTCACAGGTTGCTGCATCCTCCTCTGGCCTCCCCTCAGGAGCCAGGGGCATCGTTCTGGGAGAGCTGGCAGCAGCCCTGGGTACCGGGATGTGGATTCCTTGTCTTCCTGTTGCCATGACAACAAGTGAGTGAGGGGAAAATACTCAGATTCCATGAATTACTTCTCTACCCCTTCCTTCACCAGCCAGGAGTGAGGGGCGTGCACCCCTCCCCCCTCCGGCCCAAGTACTTCCCCTCCCTCTCCGTTCCCTTATCATCAGGGGCATGGGAAGAAAAACAAGCCGGGTCCCTGTGTGCCTGGCTGCCACCTCCTTCCCCTACTCCTCCCCTCCCCCCAAAATGGCACCTTTGCCAGGAGCGAGAAGGCGGAGGTGGCACAAGCTGAGCACTTTCCCCTCCCTCCCTGATCGGCAGGGGAAGACACTAGCGGACATTTAAAAATGGCGGCGCCCGGCTTTATGCAAATGAAGCCCAGAAAATTCAACTGACTCCACCCTGCCCTGCTGCCTGGGACTCCTGCCAGCTGCCTGTGTTCCCCTCTGCCTGCCCACCAATTCCTCCTTTGCAGTTCACCCCCAGGTTGGTTCATGAGACACCTGGGATGGCTGGTGCCACCATTCCAAAATGTCAGGGAGTAAGTGCTGAGTAACTTTGAAATCTCTCGTTCTTGGATATTTTGTTGGCAAAACTGAATGTTGACACTTCCTCCCATGCATCGTTCAAACCAGAGGCCTGGGCTGAAATCTGTGAGGACAAACCCTTCAAATGCCTTTCTCCTTTAGTAAAGGTCTTCAAAGATGAGTTTAACTCCTTCAGCAAGGTGGGTTAGTTCTAGAGATGTTAAAATGCATTTCAGTAAGTAATTGTGTACTCACTGAAAATTTCAGAGGTTACATGTGGGGGCAGGCAGCTTCCACCTGCTGCCCTGGCTGCTGCCGCCTGGGAGTTTGGAGGCAGGTGGCTCCGTGGGAACTGATAAAAAGCAGGGGCTGGCTTAAAAGCCAGCTACCAATGCATACCGGCTCCCCACACAAATGATGAACGCAGTTTTACAAACCCCAGCACGTACATGTACAGACAGTGAGTATGAATTTATCTCCGAATGACCAGGGGCTTCAGACCTTTACAGACTTTTATCAGAGATCTTACATGACATATTTTTATACATAATATTTCATACAACCCGTGGATTCAATTGCATTATCC